GCACCACGTGGTATCTGAGGAAAAGTGGCTCTAACAGTCATCTGGCTGTTAAAGAATCACAGTTACATTCATAAATAAAATTCTATTTCGTGCCTCGTGGTCACCAAAGGGAAGATTACCACATGGATAACTTCATACCTACATAATAAGAAGAACATCTCCATCATAGCTTATTGATGACTGATAGAATAGAAGCACCAAAGTTAGTAGTTGGGGCCTATCAAATGTATTTGAGAATGGACAAAGACAAATGTGTGAAAGCGGGACCACTGAAAGAAGCCCACAATGCCAAAAAACCTCTAGTTGATTGCCATATTGCACATTTCCCAGAGGTGGAGTACCAGTTGTTTTGTTAGCCGACATAATGACCTGAGTTACTCAGTGTGAAAGCCACTGCTTTCAGAGTGGTGCACAAGCAATGTGGCTCCCAAAGCAAACAAAGAGCTGGTCAGCACGATTAATAGATTCAGTTATTGACACATAATGGTGGAGTGCTTGGACACAGAGGTGAGTGTCACTCTCATTTGAGAGTTGACAAAGGTTGGTGACATAAATTTAGTTTGAAAGAGAGGATTAGGCCACCAGAGAAGCCTGGTTTCCACCATAAATGAGTTTGGGCTAGCAGCAAGTGTGTTCAATTTATCATCCTGTTTTCCAGGAAGTAGAGCTAGTAAAAAAAGTTTGGTTTGAGTCCACCTGAGACAATGGTTCAAATGATCTATGTACAGTTATTCCAGTATACAGTGTAGATAGAGGGCTCTGTGGGTCTCTGTATAGCCAAAGGTACAGTGTACCTTTGAGGAAGCTACAAAGTAGTCTGTGGGCGCATAGTGACGAGCCATTTGGCAGCCATATACATTTTGGCTGTTGATATTGATGTTACTTTCATCAGTAAGTTGTTGGAGAATTTTTAACACCACTGGGAGAGCTTGTGGCGTTGGCTGAACCCTGATGCATCTTATCAGCTAGAAAAATTTCAGTCGGTGAGCATGCATCAGTCTTGTTGATGTTCACATTTTCATTAGTTTTCCTCTCTGTAAGGTCTCTGCTAAAAGGTTGCTGGGCAAAGAGCCACATCCATTTAGGTGTTCCTGGAGAGTGTGACATACCCTGCTCTCAAGGGCAAGGCCTAAGGTACCCCATGTAGAAGTAAGTGAAGCAGTGTGAACCTTATTGCCCATTGTAGAGCTGCCAGGATAAATTGGATGGCCACACTGGTGAATTTAGAGTAGCATCTCCAATGGAAAAGATACTGAAATGCAGTTCTCATGTCCCAGGTGGCTGATCACCCCTCTTTGTCTGAGTAATAGAACCACAGTCCATATATACCACAGTTTCTGGTCTCTTTGCTGGCAAAGAGGTGTGCAGATGCTGATGGTACAGTCCACACTACCCTGGATCACGTTGCTGGCAGATGGGTTGCCCTTAATGAGGCTTTTCTGTTGATGTATTAATAAGCGACATATCAGACACAGAGCTGGTAAGAACCATGTTCTGGTCTGGTGATTGATGTTGAACATGGTTGTTACATTGTCTGAGTGAATGAGAACATGACTTCCGACCTTGTAGGTTTGGCCCTAAATTGCTCTGCATTGCCGCAGTGCACCCCAGCCTGTGAGTGACGCATCGGCATCCACTTCTCTGTGTGTGGAGGCAGAGCTCAGTGAAACCCTACCACCAAATTTTGCGTGTGAACATGTTTATTAATGCTAACATATTTTTGTATTGGACTAGATCAAGGCTGAGTTGCCACAGTTCTAAGAGATCAAGTGGCAGGATCTGTGTAGCTGGCTGCGTATGCAGTGGACCAGACAGATTTGTACCACTACAGTCAAAATGTATGCTATACCCTTCAGTGACAGGATTGTGGTCATGGACGGTGAAAAAGCAAATTGTAAATGAAATGTCAGAACCACTCGTTTTGAAAGCTACACCATATGGCCAAAAGTATGTGGACACCTGACCATTACTCCTGTACAAGCTTGTTGGACATTGCATTCCAAAACTATGGTCATTAATGTAGAGTTGACTGCCCTTCGCAGTTATTACAGCCTCCACTCTTCTCAGAAGGCTTCCTACAAGATTTTGGAGTGTGTCTGTGAGAATTTGTGCCCATTCAGTCAAAAGAATTTGCAAGGTCAGGCACTGATGTTGGACAAGAAGGCCTGGCTCACAATGGACAAACCATGTCTTTATGGACCTCGCTTCAGATACAATCATGCTGGAACAGAAAAGGGCTTTCACCAAACTGTTGCCGCAGAATAACTTTGTATGCTATAGCATTAATATTATCCTTCACTAGAACTAAAAGGCCTAGTCCAAACCCTGTAAAACAGCCCTAGAACTTTATCCCTCCTCCAGCAAACTTTACTGTTGGCACAGTGCATTCAGGTAGGCCGCATTCTCCTGGAATCTGCCAAACCCAGATTCGTTTATTAGACTGCTAGATAGTGTAGTGTTGTATTACTCCAGGGAACACATTTCCACTGCTCCAGAGTCCAGTGGTGGCATGCTTTACACTACTCAAGCCGATGCTTGGCATTCGCATAGTGATCTTAGGCTTGTGTGCAGCTGCTCAGCCATGGAAACCCATTTCCCGACGCTCCCGAGGCACAGTTCTTGTGCTGATGGTGCTTTTAGTGGCAGTTTGGATCTCTATAGTGAGTGATGGAGCTTCAGCACTCAGCACCTGAACTCAATAATTACAAGGGGTGTCCATATACTTTTGATGATATAGTGTATCACTTTCAGAACACCTGTTGTTTGAATTTGAATGGAAGCCTTTTGAGATTATAATTTAGCCCCTGTAGGTCTAGAACTACACAGAAATCCCTTTCCTTTTGGGGCATGAGAAATAAGCTGAACAAAAATACTTGGAACAGTACAAAGCTCCTTATCTCCTCTATTGTACCTTTTGTCAATAAGGAGTTTGTCTCTGCTTCAGGTGGCAGCCTTAACTGAACTTTCTACAGTTGTTGGCCTGAAGGGGCATGTGGAAGAGGGTGATGTCTGTAGCCAGTGACACTGTAAGAGTGTATGGGTCATAAAAGCAAGAACTGGCATGCACTGTGATGTTGCACCCTAGATCCTGAGTGGTGAACCCAAGCCCATGAAGTATTGTCTTGGGTGCATCTCTCAGTTGCACCATTGGCTCTAACTCCACCTGTTGCAGTAGCAACTCCACTCCTAACAGAAGATTAGAAATTGTGTTACCCAGGTGGCCAGTTTGGGCTACATTATTGTAAGCCCTTACAATATCACCATCTGAGCAGTTGCGTGTGTACTGTAAAACAACCAGAGAAGGGACTCAAGTGTCTACAGGGGCATTCGTTCTAAGCGAACTAGGATGCATCCGTCATGTTCCATATCGCGTACACCAAGGATGTGGGATGCATGCATGAAACTGTGGTTTTGAAGCCAACAAGAAACTCCTTAGGTAATGCCTCACATTTAATGTTGAGGACAGGTATGTCCACAAAGGAGTGCCTGGTGTGGTACCATTTCTCCTATTACCATTTTCAGCCCCAGCTGAGATAGAGCTGTGTGTTTGGTGGTTAACAAGGAATGTGAGCTGCCTGTCTCAACTAGGCCTAAACAAAGCTGCGTGTCCTCCACTGAGGAGTAGGTAGGTGGGGGAAAACCAGCAAGTGTGGTAGCTGCATTGTCTCCTTCTAAGGTGAACAAAGAATCAGTGACAGCGGTGGATACCACATCATTATTAGCAATTTCCTCAACTGGGCAAGAAACATTCACCATGGGCTGGATGATATCTGTAGCAGGTAGTGTGCATCAGTCAACTGTCCTTATTGAGGGAGAGATCAACTACTATTTTATGTAGCTTAAATCTTGTATGGTCTTGGATGGACTGCAGCAGAGCTTGAGGCTGCATGTTTCAAGTTATTTTTGGTTCCAGATGGAGGGATCACAGCATCACTGTTCACAGTTGCAGTAGTGAGCAGGCGTTGACGAATGACCAGGGGTTTGACAACGCAGTGCAAACATTGCTCTGTTAGTGCCTCACGATGGTGTTCTGCAACAAGGCATTATGAAAGTTTATTGTGGCCATCATCAATTTGAAGAGGAGTCAGGCATAAACTACATGGTATTTATTGCAGTGTAGAAATCTTAGACTGGCTTATAGTATAAAAATACTTTCTACATATAATGTAAATATTGGACAAAGTTTGTATACCAGAGGTCTGCATGGGCATGAAATTGAAGCTGAAACCAGACCCGTACCCCCAACTTTAAAGCGTGTCCCAATAAGGCCCAAACAGTACTGCTAAATTTGAGATCTGAACCTGCACTGATGCACAAGGCTGAAGTTGGCTTTTTATTCACCAGCCTTTATTGAAAATATCTGTTTGACCTCAATTGGTCTGTTACATTCTGATGGTTCCATTTAACGTGGAATGCAACATTCAAGTATAAAGCTTCAGCTTCACTGTGCTGCCAGAGATGGATTGTAACAGACATGGTTTTACAGTGCTGTGCTTTGTTACTAAGGACTTGATTCGCAGGGATAAACTGGTATTATACACATTAGACAGTATATTTTGTAGAATTGCCGATCATACCTGGCAATGTTAAACTACTAAATTCCTGCACTTGCTACTGCTGCTGCTTTCACACTTCAAGCGAGCTTAGTAAGGAAACCGGAAATCTTTCTACCAACCCAGCACATCACTCTCATCTTCTGTGGTGTGAACTGATTACTGCTGAACTTCATTTAGGGTTTCTCTCAAACGCTAAAGCTATTCTATATACAAATGCACTGTAAATAGCCGTGCATATGAGAGAGTGCTAAAGAGCAAAAGTTTACAAATCTACTACAGTCTGATACTGTAGGTGAAAAAGCGGCCTGAAACCCGATATATTATCGAGCCTCGTCAGGCTCAAGTTAGGTAGCAGTCCTCTGTTGTATACACGCAGAGAAAAGTTGCCTCTATGTAAGAATAATAAAGCTCTTGGAGGGGAGCACACCTCTCTTGCTGTTCAGTTATTGCAGAATATATGATATGATATGGAATACTAAAAGTGAAATCAAACCACAGATTAAGGATGTAAAATAAACAACAGGTCTAAGTAAAATGTTACAACTCAACAACTTGTTGTACACAATGACACCTTTTCAGGAAAGACTACATTTATGTACATGCTAACCTTTGATAAATAACCTTTAATACATTTTAATGTTAAAAAAAATTCTCAATGGTTCCACCCCAATTATCACATTTGGATTACTAAATTCTGAATGGACAACTAACTATAACTAAATATCTGAAGTGATCACAATTAATTATTTTTCTTAAACACTTCTCCATTAGGACTTGTTCTCCACTGGATAGTATAAATACCCATATTTTCTGCTGCTGTTCTCATCTGCAAAATAAACAATGAAAACAGAAATAAGTGATATCAACAATTGTGAAAGGAGTAACAACAGCTTTGAAGACTTTGTCGCTACCTTGACTGGTTTGTGATGACTCCACACTGGGTACTCACCTTTGCTAAAACCTGCTGCATGATAATTGGGTTATTTGGATTGATTCCAGGGGTAACCTGCACTTCAGTTCTCACCAGAACATATCTGTGTGCTGAAAAAGAAAAAAGCAAACTTTTTTTTCATTCATTTCCATTCAGCAATTTTGAAGGATTCATGACCAGGCTGGGAAAGTAGGCATTAAAATGTAAAAATTTAAATTTAGTATTTTTAAGACAGTGTTTCTTAATTCTTACTTCTGGAGATGTGCAGCACTGCACAGTTTCATCTATTCAGTGATTCACCTGACCCGGCTTATTAACTGATTATTGAGCCCTTAATGATTTCACTTTTTCTCCAAATTCTGTCTCTTTCTACATTTTTCATTTGTTTGTACATTAAACATGAGACTTCTATTAATGAATTCAATTAAAACTCAAACACTCACTCATTCACTTATGTTTAACACTAAAAACACTAAATGTTAATATAATTACTGTAATATAACTAATTTAAATTAGTATAGTACTTAACAGTAATGAATATAAATAATTGTGAAAACACTAATAGTCGAGTAAATCTAAATAATATTAATACCATAAATATGTTGTTTCTATTTGTTTCTGTTGGGATGAAACCTCATTTATCCAAAATGATAATATTAATGAAGAAGGAAAAAACATACATTTTGTTTAATGTAAGTCAATGTAACTCGACTTCATTTCGACATCAAAAAACATGAAAAATGGAGAATTTTGTTCCTACAGCAATGACGTTTTATGTTTGTCACTGTGCTCATTTAACCGTTTCTACCTCCTCTTGAGAAAACCCAATATCATTTGTAGTTACCACCCAATATCAGGTTTGATTACACAATATTTTGTTAAACTAGGTGTGCTGCTGATGTAATTTATTTACATCAGTGTCACCTTTGAAGTATCTGTATGATCAAATTTGGTCGGAATGTTTCAACAACCTGAAAAATGTTTAATTTACAACCAAATAATTATCAATATCATGAATAAAATACCAATAAAAGAGTAAAAATAATCAATAATTTGATTTGAAAGAAGCTGTAATGATATTTGTGCACCGGGGAATCCTTGTGCTAAATGTCATTTATAAATGTAAATTTTAATTTGCAGGCTTGAAACTTTATTAATTTATTAGTTTGTCTGGTACTAAGTGTAAATGGACACACTGAATCAATGCTCAAGATCATGACAGATTAAGCAGTCCTAGAACTCGTCAGCTGTGCTTGCATGTGAAAGAGTATTCTGCAAGTATTACAACAAAATTGGCTTTTCAAAACTTGTTTTCACTGACTATTGTGATACCTGCATTAATTTGTTTTTATGTAAATTATATGTATATGAGCGTTGTTTGAACTTGTCATTTGCAAATGATATGTAAAGGAAGGACTAGCGCACATCTGCTCATTTTCACACAGCAGAAGCTGATTCATCAGTTGAGCTCAAATTACAGCTTGTTTCAGTGTCAGCTGCTTTGCTGATTGGAATAATTATTGTGGAGAACCTCCGCTCTCCTAAATAAAACATCATTGCCACTGATATGCTGCACTTTATTAGGAAAGTAAAGAGAGAGTTGAGGTCAAACGAGAGTGAAATGGTAAAATTGCAACCTGCACCAGTAAACTAGCTGGCTACCAATCCTTCAACGAAACAGCATCAAAGCGAAGATGACAGGTACGTCTAGCTATTTAGCTCATCGAGGGGTTGTGTTTATTCCAGAAAACAAGTTAGCTTTTCATGATTGTGCTTGTTTTATGTGTAGGCAGAAAAAGTTTGTTTAAAAATAAAGTTGTTCAGACTTCCAAATAGACTTTCTGAGCTTGTTTGGCATGAACGGCGTGAAACATCTTGCTTTTCATTTTGTTGATGTTAACAGGTCAGAGCTGTCACAGAGGCGTGGCACTAAAGCAGCAAGATATGTAGAGAATAGGTGTGGAGCCTATTTTTTTCTTTGAGAATCAGTGAAAATGAAATAAAAAACCTAAACAAAACTTCAAAAAACACACATTTATCAATGCATGACTGTTACGAAACTAAACACCAGCTAAGCATTTTGAGCTGCGTACACATTTACTGGTAGGTCTACCTATCAAATGTCAGAAAGCTGTCAAGGGTAAACAAATGTACCATGTTTTTTCAAAAATTATATTTTTATTGGGCAAAATAAAAGAACTGGCCAAAAATTGGCCATAGATTTATATGTCGTGGCTGTCAGAACAAAAGCTTATATCTCCAAAATGGAGATATAAGAGAGGAGAAAAAAAAATTCCTTAAGTTATATTGAAAAATATTGTAAATATATTTTTTCCAAGTAATTTTGAAACATTTCTGTTGGACCATCTATCAGGAAACTTTCACACAATATAAAGTTCAGCTTGTGTTTTCAAACTGTGTAAAAGAGTAAAAACAACAAAATTCACATTCTCACTCACTGGTGGGATCATGTAGCTACTGTTCCTCTCTGGATGTTGAAAATCAGAAACTGTGTTGATACTACTGTGTTGTTCACGCGATTTTCGTGATGAGTTCATTGAATTCAGTTTATTCGCATGAGTTCACGAGTGCATTGAGTTTAGTGCGTTCACACAGTTAAAACAATGTCATTGAGTTATTAAAAGAAACAGTTATTGAAACCAAGGAAGTTTATTCTGCACTGATCTTTAAATGGAAAAAAAATTGAGCATGTAAGGCAAATAGAATCAATCAAGATTAGCTAAACAAAGTCATGCAATTAATGAGAATTAATTATTTTCATAGTTTAACAGTTCTGCAATATTTATATAATACATACACAGGCATAACACTGCCTGTTGTTGAATATACAATTCTTTAAATGTTTACATATGACTATGCGGATATTATATCTGTGTCTAATATTCATGAGGTCTTTAAGGAGAGACCTTAAAGTGCTGTACAGGTTTGAAAGCAAACTGTATTTTAAGTAGCCAGTATACTGTATAATTTCATTCTGCAGGTAGAATAGATATTCCCCATTTATTTTTTATTTGCTCTACAATTACTAGTAATGTCATTTATCCACATTGTCTCTCAGTGTGGAAGGAAGTGCCTTTGACCAGCCTCAGCTCAGCTTATACAGTAATATGGAGACGTTTGGGCACCCCTAGTCAAAGGGAATTTTGTTAATTTTCTAAGTGAAAATGAGTTAACACATCTTCATCCTCATCCTTAACACACTTCTACACATTTTAATCCACACTTATTGTTTATTTGCTGAATTTAACATACTGGATAAAAAATAAAACATCATAATAAAAGGCCTGGCATATTTTATACTTTGTTTTATTTTTTCAATTATGTTAAATTGAGCAAATAAATAGAAATCATGCAATAAATTTGCTGAATTTTAAATATTTTCTCTGTAGAGTAGAACTTCTTTTCTCTTAGAAAACCAACAAAACATGTAACTTAACCAGGGGGTGTTTGAATTCTAGGTGTTAAGACATAATTCTGTATGTATCATTGACAGAAGAATCACAAAGTGTAATATAGGCCTGCAACATGTAATCAACATTATTGATAACATTGATAATAAAAAATTCATGGCAACAAATCACGTTATCAGTTAGATGACTTGATGACATTTGCGCTTCCCATTTACATCATGATTGTAATGAAGAAATACAGATGTTTCTTATTTCATGCACAGACTGCAATACAAGGTCATGCACAACCCCAAAAAATATAAACTATGAAAAGACAGTTTCCTGTCTGATGTGTAAAACCGAGCTGAGCAGGCAGCGCTACTGTCAGGCATGAGTGTAAGAGAGAATATACACTGTATGCACAGCAGAAACTTGGTAGGGTGAAAAAATACTGTAAAATCTTGTTAAAACCGCAGTCAAAAATAGTGCATCATTTCTTTTTGGCTAGTTCTGTTTTAGTTTAACTGATATAAGCAGTGCTGGCTGAAGGGATGAGCTGCATTTTGATACTGTTCATGGGTTGCTTTTTAGTTAGTAGATGTTTTAGTTTTCTCTGTGTTTTAGCCTTGAATCCATAAGAAAAGAGAGCTTTAGTTCACTGAGATTTTTTAAAACTCTATTTTCAGTATTTAATGGTGGACTGATATTTGAAGACACTGACATCACACATGTGATCAGCTGCATTAGGTCTCCAGCTGATCACTGCACTGTCATAGTGTGTTCTGTCATATCAGTGTTTTTATTACATGATGTTATTGACCACACAAGCTATTCAATAATACTTTTTCTTTAACATTAGAAAATATGAATTTGAGTATATGTATGCATAAAGTTTTTTTTTTATTTTTTCGCACTTACATTGGCAAATGACTCCTGCATCCTCACCATGAACACAGTTATGTTTTCCCCATCCACTGAACTGACAGTCGATCAGTGAAGACTCAGTCTTAGAACATTTAACGTCATCCATCCATATTTGACCAGATCCCTGTCCAAAGTAAGCATTGCTCTTTGCCTCTGTAGCGTTTCCACAGCCCAGCTCTCTACACACAACTTCAGCATCATTTAAATCCCAAGAATCATCACATACTGTTCCCCATATTCCATTATAGAGAACCTCCACTCTTCCAGAGCAGGGGGCTGTACCATTGACCAATCTCAGTGTGGTTGGGCTGGCATTTTGAAGATCTGCATGGAGAGTAAAAGGAGATCTAGAGTAGCAGTAGAGACCAGAAAGACATACAAAAGATACAAAAAGAGAATAGGTGCCTATTTGCATGTGTGTGTCTTTCTTACCTAGAAGTAGTACGAGCACCAGGGTCCACATCGTTGTTACTGAAAAGATATTCATGAATTTATATTTATCATATTTTTATTATTTTTTTTTCTCTCTTTTAGGCCTGTTATGGTCATTAAATTTTAGCTGATGGTTTATTGTCAAACAAATAATTTTTTACTAATAATTTGTTTACTGTGTACAGCTATTAAAGTACAATATAAAGTTGTCAAAAGTCAAAATGGCTGGTTACCTAGCTGTCAGTAATTAGCTCCCAGCTGATGACATGCACAAATATGAAAATGGGAAGAATATTTACATTATAATATGAATGTGACTGAATCAAGGCAAAGTCATTTAAAAAAGGTGCTTCCACAGTAAAATGTTTATCAAGGTAACATGTATAATTATTATGCACTTATAGGCCATTAAATATTACTTCATCAAGCTTGACTCCATCAAGTCATAATTTCATCAGGCTAGTCTTATTTTACACCACCTTCATATTTGTGTAAAAACTTTGATATTTGCTGTTTTTCAAATAATAATAACTGACCTCATTCTGTAAAATAGTTACTGTTGTATGCAAAAGTTTGAACACTCCTGGTTAATTTACATGTTTTGTTGATCTTAATAAATGAAAGAAACATTAACAAATTGGAAAAATAAAACAAAATATAAAATGTGCCATAATGTTTGAACAGGCCACATTTTTTTTTCAAGATGTTACATTCAGCAAATAATGGTGTAACAAATAATTGTGCATTGAAATGTGCAGACGTTGTTCTCTGTTGAGGATGTTAGCTTAGAAAATCAACATAACATGTTCAAGAAAACATTTGACCAGTGGAGCTCAAACTTTTGCATATGACTACAAACAATCACAAAAAGAAAGCAGCTTGGGAAGGCTGTAGACTTAGTTGTAGATGATCATCAATGGAAAATAAGGCAAAAGAAACTCAGCATATGAGTGAATGAAAAGAAAGATATAGAAAGAAATAAGAAAAGAAAGAAATAAAGAAAAAGGAAAGGAAGGAAGAAAGAAAGAAAGAAAGAAAGAATAATTCATCAACTAAAACAATGTCATTAAGCCCATAAGCACATGTTAAGCTACTCCACTACCATTAATACTGCTAAATACTACAGTAAGGGTAAAATCAGCTATAATAACTATAATTCATCAATTTATATATCTGCACAGTTCTGCTCTTCTAAACTCTTGTCAAGACCTCTTACAAATAACTCCCAACGTTAAATAAGACAAGCTAAGAATAAAAAGAAAATAAAGATAAAATATATGCACAGTATGACATTTGATGACATTTGCCTTTCTGGCCTTTCTAACTGAACACTTTGCCTATTTGCTTTAATGATCATAGGATTACCTGTTTTTGCGTTCCCACTCAGTATTCCAGCTCTGACAATTCTGCTCTTGTGTTGTAAAGATGCTGACATGGTTCCCCATGTTTTCTTATGAAAATTTGAACTCTGAAACCGGTCACTCCTCCCACATCACCCTGAAGCTGCACCTCTACATCTCATGTTTTGCACACCTGCTGACGAATTGTATTCAGAACTTGCCACTACTTCATATATTAGTTTCAGAGGTTATAGTGATTATAGGCTTAGGTAATATGTCTGTATTTGTTAGTTATGTACAAGAGCTTTAAATGGCCAAAATGGACAGTGGTTTCTAGTACACTTTTTTCTCAATGCTGTAAGTGTCCTTTTATTAATTTTATTAAATAAAAATGTAAATAACAATATAAAAATAAAATGCATGAAAATTGTGCCAAAACCTTTGCATATGCCATATATGTTTTAAATCTTTGAAAAAAGCAAGTAAATGGAAATAAGAAATACAAAGGATTTGAAAACATTTGAGAATAATAGTAGATTTATCGCTGCAGAGTCTCTTTCTTGACCGTGGATACATATGTACAGAGGTAGAGACTTACTCATGACGTGACCATTTCCAGCACTGATGCAGCGATATCTCAGTGCTGTTAAAAATGCCAATTAAGCCCTAGCTTTCCTGAACTGTTATGTCCTTCTGTTGGTGAAAACCAGTTTCTCCAAACAGATCAGGAAGCACCTGTCATTTGAATGTCTTTTCCATTTTCCACCTCCTGCATATTCAAGGTCAAAGCCAAAAGCTGTCAGTTTGAAAACATCACAAGAGCCATGTTTGTGCTTCAGACAGAGGCTGGAAAACTGTCTCATTCCACTCTCTTCTCAAGATTACATCGTTCAAGTATGTGTGCATTCTAACTGAAGTGTCTGCGCGTCTTTGTGGAATGCTGTGCCTCATAAAAAAGCCAGAACACCATGTCTCGTAAAAAGGAGACATTTCCTTGAAAAGAGTTTAACAAAACATGGTCTCACTCAACCTCATATGATTGTGCTTTGTTTTTCATGCAGTGTTGGTAATGACGACATTTGAACTGTCAGTGTAGATTTATTTTTCTAATTCTGTTCTTAACTAGTGCCTTAAATTCCTAGAAATACTACAGATCTGTGAATTGTCGTAGGAAATATGGGACGTTTGCATAAAAGTAGTGGAAACATGAAAGAAATGGTCCATAAATGAGGGAACTGTTGTGCGCTGTTACAATTAGTAAAATGTGTGATTTAAACAATGACTGTTTTGCCTGATTCAATTAAAAGAAATATGGATAAGCAGTTCATTCACTGGTTCCAGGTATCTTCTGTAGTGGAATTTGTGCTCTGTAGTTGTTGCAGATGCTATACCTTGGTCACTTTTCATATTACATTGAGTGTTATGTGAGTTTACTGAGAAATACAGTGCAAAAAGTCTTAGGCGCCTGAGTAAAAAAGGGCCCTATTTCCTACATTATTTGTACATCTTGTGATCCATTTTCCCCCTAAGGTCCAACTTACCACCAAAAACAGTCATAATTCATTTTTACATGACCTTTTTTAATTCCCTTAGAATTAAACAGGCTGTTTTTTTGCTGTCCCTGTTAGTCTGATATATGTAAATGAGCTCTGTTCTGATCGGCTACTGTGTAGGCAGATATATACAAATATGTTGGTTTTTGTGGCACCACAAAAACAAGGACTTCAAAACAGGCTGTTTTTGCACTTTTGTAGGCACCGAGTTGTGAATGGTACGTTTTGAAACTTTAAACAATGTTTATATTGTAGTCTCTTTAAAAGAAAGAGAGAAAAAGTCTGTTTTTACATGATGTGGACCGGTTAAGACCATGTATCTCTGCTGTAAGTGTGCTTTGTGGGTAAAATACTGTATAATATTAGAACAGAATACAAATAAACTTCAGTGCAGTAAGTAGTAACAAGAATTTCTCGTTATCCAAAAAGTAGTTGAGATGTTGTGAGCTGGAAAAAGAATGCTGGTTCTGGACTTTACCTCCATGCCTCTTGTTAAATTTCTTCACCAGCATTTCTGATTTATCATCAATGAAGGATTGTTTAGCCAAACCAAGTGTTACATGATAACTACAAGTAAAAACTTGGCTGAAAGAAATGGGACAGAAAAGAAGGGTTTGGTATGCGTTGTTAAAAATTTGTGTACTGTATATTCTGATGTTCACATTGGTTGAAGATTTTCATTTTTTCAGAATGTGCTATCTGTAAGTATAGAGTTGCAGTTAATGATTGCACCCACGTACCGCTAGAAATAGCTGCTTTCATCATTTTTGTTGACATGCAGCTTTAATTTGAAGGCTTAATTCTTTTAGACAGAGCCAGACACTTCTTGCTCTAATGCTCTTGGTAAACTTTTTTTTTGCACAGCATTCACACTGTCATGCTACACTGAAACACAGAACACAAACATCTTTCTCATTATCTCTGAGGAGATGTGTTAGACTTGTTTTAAATTTTTTCTTAGTTGTTCATTTCAGTGGGGCGAAACTGCCCGATGAACACTTGCTGAAACATTAAAAACAAAATTAATATTTCACACGGCTTCTTTATTATTAGCAAATTGTTTACATTTCAGTGCTCTTATTACACAGTAATATTAGGCAGTTTTGTTACAGTATTTTAAATGCTGCTCACTCAGACACAAAATGTTCTGTTCATAATTCACTTGCAGTTTTCAGGACAACATGTTATCACATTCTTGCCTGAAGCAAAATGACTGTGTCAAGTAGTAATGGGTGGGATGGCCAATTTTGACCAGTATACCAGAAGAACCGGTATACCACTCACTACTAGTCTCAAGGTTAAATTCCCATTACCATTGTAACTCAGTGATTTCTGACTGGAATCAGAAGGTTGTTCATCTGAATTCTGGAGAGAAATTGCTATGATCTGTTAGTTCCCAATGATGCAGTGCCTCAAATCAGATTTGTATTTTACCACTTTAAACACTGGGGCCCAAGTAGAATAACTGTTCTCCTTGTTCTTATTAGACCATTACCGAAGCAGATTCCTCTTTTTTTACTCTACGTTTTAGAACGCAGTGCTGTCGAGCACCAGTAGATCATCTGCAGATTTTAACAATGCACAAATCATTAGTGCTGTTGGAAGCATCCATTGGAAAAATGCCCAGTCTGTTCTAGTTGTCTTCATCATTGGATTAAATCCATCCTACACAACCTTCATAGTGCTCTCCTCCAGCCAAGAGTGTCTCCCGCCCAAACAGAGAGAAGCCGATTTGTTTTCAAAGCACTGACGTGACTCCTGTCATCACCCAGCAGAAATCAATGACTGTCCTTGATTCTGTGAGGCGTTTGAAAACACTCTCAAAACAAACTGGCGATCTGAACTTTGTTCTTTTTGTCCCTGCTGTTTAAACAAAACACATCTCTATCCTGTTCTGAAAAAAACAAGAATAGGTGATTTGATATGTCCTGGCAAAAATGGCAAAAATACAAAGAAGTGCTTTTAAACCGTTGTAACTGTGTTAATGATGATGGCACCAATCAGAGGTGACAGTGTTAAGAGGTGTCAGAGTAGCCTATTAAAACCCTGTTAGTGAAAAAACAGTGCTTGGTCATATTAAGTTCAAATTATCATATGATATCGTCTAAATGACAAAATACATTTTAATCTAAATGTAAAGACTTTTGCCCACCTCTAAAACATCTTCAGAGTTTTGATTACATCACTGTGCACCAGTGGGTGGAGAAAAATAATATTAACCAATATTCTCATGTTTCACCTCCCCTTCCAACATCCATTTATCACTGAGTGAACACACTCTGCGAGCTCAGAGACCCACCCCAGCAGCAGAAATATTTTTTGTATTGTAGTGAGCTTCCATGACAGGCTAAATATTAAACATCAAACATTTAAACTTGGTATCAGTCACAGAATTTTAATACTGTTCCTGCCCCAGTATAGATGTGTGGGAAGAACAAGGCATGTGTTTTATTACAAATGACTTGAGTGTGATGAGGTAGAAAAATCTTTGGGTTACACAATCAGTGCGCCCAGGAGGCTGGAATGAGTGTGGGCGCGCTGAATGTTTATGTTGTGCCTATCTGCCTGTCCTTGGCAATCAGGCACGCTGTCCTGGGGTAAAAGCTGTTCATGAACCTATGTCTTCGGGTCATGATGTTCTTTAATCTGTGACACTGAAAGTTATATTTGGTTTCGTGCCAGATCAACAGACTGTGACTCGTGTGGTGGGAGTGTCTGAAAATTGTGCCTGCAGCCTGAGCTGAGTTCCTCTATTAATAAGAGTTCTGTTCTAGTAATCTGCTGAGCTGTTCTTGTCCTCATCACCCTGTAGAGTTTCTCTTTATCCTTTTGGGTGACACTGCCAAACTAGTGATGTCTCCAGTGGTAGAAATTAGCCAGTGCTTGTTTGTGGATGCAGCTTTTTCAAGTACTTTAGAAAGTACAAGTGCTCTGTTGTTTTCTTTGGCACTGCTGTTTGATGTCTAACTGAAAATACTGAAAATATGAAGACTGAGCAACATAATGCAGTGAACTTGTTCTATTCGTGTCAGTGTAGATGGGCTTTTAAGGGGCGCTGTTATTCAATAATCCAGGTCATCTCTTTTGTATTATAGTTATTGGTATCAGCAGGTATTTGTTTTTCAAAAAAATGACATATTTAGATTTTACCAATATTTCAAACCGATATTTGGTGTATTTGCTGTGCTTTGGAAGAGCAGAATGCTTAGACGAGCTACTGGGATTAAAATGTCTGCATTTTGTTTATTTTGCCCCATTTGTGAGCCTCTAGAAATAATCCTTTTACTATTAGGTATATTTAATATTTAATAAGTGTTTATGAATCTGCGTTGGTATCGTCATCAGCAGACACACAATATGGTGAAAACCATGTGGACAACCCTTCAAATTATTGAGTTCAAATGTTTCAGCCACACTCATTGCGTACAGGTGTATGTACGCACATAGCCATGCAATCTCCGGGAACAATAGAATGGCAGTAAAATGTGATGCACTGAAGAGCTCAGTGACTTTAAATGTGGCACAGTCACCTTTGCCACAAGTTAGTTCATGATATGTCTGCCCTGCTAACTGTAAATGCTATTATTGTATAATGCAAGTACCTATGAGCCTTACAACAGCTCGCAGAGCTCACAAAATCTCTGAGTGGAGCCACCGAATGCTGAAGCGTGCAGTGTGTAAAAATCACCATTTATCTGTTGCATCATTCACTATAGTTCCAAACCGTCACTGGAAGCAACATCAGCACAAGAACTGTGCATCAGGAGCTTCATGAAATGAGTTTCCATGGCTGAGCAGCTGCACCCAAGCCTAAGATCACTATGCACAATGGCAAGTGTTGAATCACACTTCAGTATCTGGCAGTCTGATAGATGAATCTGGGTTTGGCGGATGTCAGAGAAGGCCATCTGCCAGAATTAATGAAGTTTGGTGGAGGTGGAATGTCGATTGCGAGCCAGGCCTTCTTGTCCAACATCAGTGTCTGACCTCACAAAGGCTCTTTTGATTGAATAGGCACAAATTCCCACAGACACACTCCAAAACCTTGTGGAAAGCCTTCACAGAAGAATTGGGGCAATTCCATTTTAATTCACACGGTTTTGGAATGGGATATCCAGCAAGCTCATATAGGTGTGATGGTCTGGTGTCCACATACTTTTGGCCATATAGTGTATGCACAAAAAAAATTGATTATTGTAATCATTCACAATTCCTATATTATAGCACCTCTACTAATAGTATTAGATTCTGTACTAGCATGAAAAGCATCATTCATTGCTTTGTTTGGATGAAATGCAAATTGCAAAGGTCACTCTGGGCTGAATGGATGATGAGCTTTTAAAACAATGTAGATCAGTCGCCTTGGACAATGAGGTGTAAAAAGATATAGACACCAGCAGCTGCTATATTATACTGGCAGTCATTGATACTTACAAATGTGAAGCAGCATCACAAACACAACTTTTTCACATTAAAATTATTACATGATTGAAGATGACTGTGCTGTTAAGAAACCCTAGAAGGATTAATTTTTTCCTTTAACTCTCCTTGTCTTCAGGTCAGTGGGGTGTTCCTGAGCACCTTCTCCACACAGTTCCGTCCAATCAGCAGCTGAACAGGTTGGCATCTCGTCTTGGTTCAGAGTGGGAGATGGTGCTGTTGGACTTGGGCCTGTCGCCGGGGGAGCTCTACCGGTGCCGTGCTGACCATCCGCTCAGTGTTCAGAGTCAGGTGCTAGCAGGCTTAGTGATGTGGAAGCAATTGCAGGGCCGTGGAGCCACCGTGCAGCGTCTGCTCCAGAGCCTACAGGCTTCAGATCTCCATCCGTCTGCCATTGACCAGGTGTTCATCTGAAGCTGCGGGAGAGAGAGATAGAGAAAGACTACAACCCCTCTGCTGTCTTTCTGCCACCTTATTGCCTCAAACTGTGCCATGTACCTGGACGCAAGTATTCCAGGAGAGATTTATATACATCAGTGCTGTGTTAGGCCACGTTAGCCTTTATGCCTTGCCAGACATTGCAGCTATCTGGACTGCAAGGGCCACCTACTTGATACATAGACACTGATGTAGGATCAGTTGGAATGTATCCATTCCATGTATGATGTTTTATCACAGTTAATTACAGGAATTATGTTTTTTAAAAAAACTTTTTTAATTTAATTGGCTCTTATTATTCTGTCAGTACTTTGCTATATATGATAGAGACTACTTATTTTTTGCATCTTAATTAAAGTAATTTAAGTGTTGTAGACAAATTAAAGAAGCTTTAGTAAGCCTAGAAAGAGATAGGCATGTAGCTGACAATCAGCAGAACCAGTGACTGACATTACCTCACATGAGATGACACGCAGTGTCCAAAAACTTGAAACGATTGTTTTTAGCGATGGAGCATTCACCACCATGAGTGGTCAGCACCTTTCAGCACTGCTCACTATCTTCGTGCCTCTTCATCATCTCTCTATTACTTACAGAACCAGACCACAAAAAGCCATAGTAGGCCGCCTGTGGTCTGGAACTGACACTGAGAAGGGAGTGAATCTAATGTGCAAATTATTTGTGTTCACCGCAGTTAACATTACCAGCCAAGTCACATCGTAACATTTCACTTCCGACCTCAAAAACAGCGAATTTGGGAACAGTTAGTAAGCTGATACCAAATGTGATAAATTAACTAAATGTTGCTGAAAATTTAATTGCACTGAAACTGTACTATTATTAACCAAAGCTGTACTTGTAAGTACAGTAAGTTACAATGTAAAATGTGAAGTTATCCTGAACTTGACATGAATTTGACATCACGTCACTTTCCTATGCACGGCACAGTATAGTTTACTATGTAAAACCAATAACATCACCAAAACAACCGAGCTCTAATATTAGCTATAGTCTGTAGTTTGATCATCTTAAAACACAAAGCGCAGGTTATCCCATTTTTCTTGATTAAAACACTGCAGAACTATTCCAGTGGAACCATAAAGTGAATGTAGCTCACGGTTCTCTATTTCTTGGCTGAAAAGTCTTTATACTGTCTTTGAAATAATGATTTCAAGAAATCACTCTCAATCTTTATTAGGAATATAGAAGTCAGTGTAGTGCTAACATTGCATCTTGTCTATGAGCAAACAGCTAGGGAAGCACTAGCTGATGTTGTTGCCTCAATTAGTAGTGAACTAAAAATCTCATTATTTTGGGAATTTTTTTATAAAAGTCTGCTTTTTTATGTTTTTAGCAAGTTGTTTTTAAGCTCTCCCCTCACAAGTTTCAAATGAGATGTATCTGACACAGCTGCCAATCAGCATCAGAGCTATTTTTTTTTAATGAATACAGCCAGTTAGAGCCCCTGAATTCAGCCCTGTGTATTAAGTCATCTGTAACCAGAATGCCCTTGTTGATTGGTTTATGTCAGTAGATTCTCAATAAAATGATAAAATGCCTTCCTTGGGTTCTTCTGGGTTTTTTCTCTAAAGGCCTATAGTAGTAAGGGTTCAAATAAAATTAAATGCTAAAATGCAGCCTATATTATATATACAGTGCGGTCTGTATGGGGAGACCACACGTGAAAATGCTTCTGTTTTGCTTTCTTTTCTAACATGATGCATCTTTGAAATATTTGCATGAATTTCTAAACTGATGATAATGTGTAAACTCGAGCTCTCATGGACTCAACAAGTTTGCACAAAGCCTTAATGAGTTGATCAGATCTACCCGAGAGTCGTCTGAAAATGTGCTTCAATAAAAGTAATAAAACTAAAGAAAGTTTTACAAATTTACTTAAATTTGAACAGGCGTAGAAATATTGATTATTACTTATGCACTTCTAACTTTAATTTGTTTTACATTTTTCAAAATTCTAAAACTTTCTTGTTTATTTCCAGGTTTAAATGTAAAAAAAAAGATTTTTGATGTGGTCTCAGACTTTTGAACCTGTACAAAAAAATTGTTTCAGTGTCAAACATTGTAAATGTGGTGCTTCACTCTGATTTTTATTTATATTTCAGTGTTTACATATGACTGCTGTGCTGTTTGTGATATGCCACAGGTCACTTCCCAATCTCTCACTCGGGTGTGTGTGCGGTGTGTGTGTGTGGGTATCAGGAAAACAAAACTGAAATGCCACGACTGAAATGTGTGCATGTTGGAATAATAATAATAAGTTCCCTGCCAATTATTATAATAGTGCTCTCTTTGTCCAGTGCTAGCTGTCCTGCAGTTGCTAAGCTAAATTGTTCATTTTGTTAATATGATCACTTTGAGTACAAGGCGTGTGCATGTATATTGTCACCTAATTATGGAGCGTAGTGAGGTGCTGCTGAATAGCTTGTCTATCTGATGATCGAGAGCAGACTGAAGATGTCAGAGGTGATGGAACTGGGAATACAGTGTACTTTATGTGTACGAAAGACATGGTCATATTTTTAGCAAATAAGAGATATATGTATTTAATTGATCTCATTAAACATTAATTTTCCTCTCAGTAAGTTAAGCAAATTGCCAAGTTGAAAAAATTCTGAAATGTTTATTACAGTTGGAAAGGAATAGCATGCAAAGTCGAGTAGGTTGTCCTCAAACTGCATACTTTACACATGAGTTTCCCTACGTATTTTATTAGATTTGGACAGTACAGTGAGAAAGAGGCGTTAAGAGGATTTGTTTGAGACATGTGTGCCTGATCTATTTGGTGAGTGGTCCAGATATGTGAACTGAAGCTTATGAACCGGCCAGGAAAACAGAGCACTTCAGCGTTGTTTTTCTGAATGGCTAAGAGACTTTGACTGTTGTTGTACCAAACATGCACAAACAAAGTGCTATCACAAGCACACATGCCCATACATATGCGCAATCTGCAGCAAGTCCCAGTTCCAAAGAAGACTAGAATGTAACTATGAATGTTTTTCCTTTTTTGCTCTTTGCTTGTCCGTCTTGGAAATCTAGAAGGTATTTTAACCATGCAGTCTTTAGAGCTTTTCTCCGTCTGCTGGGGCTAAACCTGGGAGTCGCACACAAAACCATGTGCAGGCAGTTCAGTTCAGTCAGTCAGGAAAGGGTCACGTGCTGTTGTTTTTATCCAGCAGAGTTCATCTGTGTCTTGCGCCAAAAGCATCCGGCTCTGCCCAGAGAACCTCCTTGTCCATGTCCATGAACGTCCATGTTTAAATCAACATGCAAGCCGGATGCTGGTTTTTGAATTGATTTCAAGAGGAAAGACTTGAACACTTTTTAAGGCTTGCACTGTGCTGTAATTAGGAGTTGTAGGACAGTGGTCACACGCCCAAGGCCGCCTTCCTGCAAGGCTAAGTGTAGCATAGCCTTAAAAGACCCTACTCACCCTCACAGCACCCTGCTGTAAGTGGTGAGGCTTGCCCTTCTGCAGGGGTCATCCTGGAAACTGGGTTACAGTTAAGTGATGTGTAATGCACTGTACAGTGTGGCCTTGTTTCTTTAGAGAGAGGCAGGAAAATGCAAACACAAGATGTTGAATCGGCAACAATTCAGACTAAGTGGGAGGATATTAGAGGATAGAGTATTAGGAGCGTCACTGACCCAGATTAACCCCGCGTCTCCTTGCTGGACCACCAGGCCGCACGCTTGACCTGTTTCTAATATGCCCCCAAACCCCCCCACTTCTAACCCGGCTGGTTAAGCTTAGCATGCTAATCCTTTATTCCCAGTAACCCAACAGAAAAACATCTGTTTTCTGCAGTAGAGGCTGAGGACAAATGAGGGGTCACGCAATCTCAAGCTTTCCTGGTTGTTAAAACAACAGGGTGGGCAGACAGCGCCAAGGTCACCGGAGGCCAAAGGTGAGACCAGACCGGTAGCTAATTGCTTTTTCTTGTCTGCAGGAAGGCAGCTTCGCCTACTCAAAGGCTAATGTTAGCTTAACAATTCTAAGACAACGACCATAATGAAGAAAGACCATATGTAACACTCATAAAGAGAACCATCCAGTGCAGTTAAGTTCAGTTTTAATTCAACATTTATAAAATAGGCATGAGGGAAACATATAATGTGTAATATAGCACAGTATTTCACAAATACAGGGTTGTGTAAGACTATTAGCCAGTGGCGAACTGTGATTACTAGTGCTAGGCCTTCAGTTCAGGTCATAAATGTCAAAATGAGGGAAAAAACCCCTACGTAAATGCTGGTTTCTGCAGGCATCATTATGGTATTTTAATAATATGTTAGTGCTAAGCTAACAGTGGCCATTCTAGATTAAACACACTCATAAAAAACATTCCATGCTTTATCTTGTCTCGGACATATTAATGCCCATTTTACCTTACAGCACTTTTACAGTGACTCCTTCAGAGCTGAGCACAGAGCTGCTGCTTTTTTCCCCTCCTACTGAAGCGTGTTGGTCAGGCAGTGATGTAGCTAGAACATCCAGAAGATGTCGAGTGACGTTTTTCTCACAAAATTGGTCCCATGTGGTTGCTTGATTTCTCGGTCAGTTCCCAATTACGTTAGTGATTAATCTTAGGCCTACAGTTCAGCTCCTGTAATCATAACCAATGGGAGAGCTCACTTGGCTGTGTCTATGTAGATACCAGAGAGAAAAAAATTACTACAGTACTTGCAGTAAATACAACAGGCATCTTGATTATATTAAGAAAATAATACCTAAAATTACAAGCATGTTTTTATTATTATTATTATTATTATTATTATTTCACAGTAATTATAGAAGGCATAGAAAGTCTTGAGGGTTCCTCACTGCTATGAGTGAACAATAACTATGATAAGTAAGAGAAGCAACAATGGAAAACAGAAGATAATAATGAACAGCATCAGAAAAAAAAACAGACTGGTGTTTAGAGCAGTTTAGGAATGTAGAGTTGTAATGTAAATAACAATCACAGGATGTTTTGTGAGTCACAGGATTAGCATATTGTGTGATTAGTGTACTGTATATCCAGCATCAGAGATGTTTGTGTGAGGTAGAAATGACATGACTGATTGTTAGCTTGAGGGCTCAGGGATGAAGACTGTTCCCTCATCTGGTGATCTGGGACTTAATGCCTGGTGGTGATTGAGTAAACAGTGTGTCTTAGGGATGGTATGGCATGATAATTTACTGTCATTATATCAGTTTTTGGTATTACTTCAGTATTATTAAAATATGCTGGAAAGCACGTTAAGGGGGAGGACGAGGCAGGATGCAAGTGTAAGTGCTTGGTTTTGTTAAAAATCCATGACAAAAAGGTATTTACAAAGGTGACAAAACAAAGACAGAACACTACTGAACAAAATACTGAAACGGAAAAAAATACATGAAGAAAACTAGAAAACAAATGAGAGATAACCAAAACAGTGCAAACATAAAGCACACAAGCAGGGGGATAAACACACATAGGACAAACCAGAAAAACCTGGGACTAATGAGAGGACGGGGCTAAAGACAACAGACAGGTGAGACAGATGACAAGAAGGCAGGAATGTGGGAGAAGACAAACACCAGAACAACAAAGGCACATGGAAGAGGAAAACAAAAGGCTAAAACAGAAAGACAAGGACAGGGCAAGACAGGATGTTACAGTACTAATACACATTGAAATTATTACACCATAGGTGTGTAGTTAAACTGATTATCTCGTATGTTTTTATAACACCATAATATAAATTACAATTCACTGAAATATGAAATTATCAACAGCACTACTACTGTACACTGTTCAGATATTTACTATGTAAACAATATCTAGTGCTGTCCTGGTTTATGCTGGGCAGAGAAAATATAATTAATTAATTAATAGAATTATTAAAATTCGAAACAGTATGATTATCACTGAGTTTTATACCACCATGGTTAAAACCTATAACTGCCTCATTCCTAGTCTGTAGCTTAAGTGTCAGAAGTCTCTGATAATACTGCGAGTTTCCTCTTTCTGTTATGAATGTGCCATGTTTCAGAAGAAGGAATCTCAGCCCAACTGGAGGTCTCATGGTTTTATGAATATGGGAATTGACTGAAACAAGTGTTCTGTTTCAACCTCCCAAAGAAGAGACAGGACGTTGATTTAGTCATGCTTTGTTGCTCTTTGTCAAACTAAATGATGTTCCAGTGTCTTCCTAGAAAAGCAAATAATGTAATTCCAATGCCAGCAAAATCAATACAAAAGCAGCAACAAATGCCATTTTCAGTTCAATGTATGATACGCTGCATTTCTGTGGGGAAAATCAAAAACTGAATTTTCACAAACTCACTGTGTCAAAGACTCTGTCCAATTCTTACTCAACTAAAACGGAAGTATGGAGCAAAAAATTGACTTTAGTGAAAGGAAAAAATTGAGAAACATTCAAGTCTATACAGTCAAATGCAAAAGTTAAGGCCTGCGCAAAAAGTTATGTTGCTTTTAATTTTTTTCCCTGATATGTTAAATTCAGCACATAAATAGAAATTGTGCAATAAAATTGCAGAAAAATGGCATATTTAAGGTTGTTCTCTGTAAAATATGTGTAACTTATTTTCACTTACAAAATCAACAGGACACGTCCTTTGGCCAGG